CCCCCCACGCCCACTCAGAAGCAGAAGGAGGCAGTCTCAAGCCTCCTCCACACACTCTCTCTAACTGCTGGGGCGAAAGAGCTACAAAGAAGCCGCCTCGTTAGAAATTAGAAATTAGAATTTCCCGCCTTTTCCCCCCTGCCTTTTTCTGTTCATAAGTGGAAACTCCGGTCGCAAGTAGAAGCAAAATTTTGCGGCCAGAGTTGGTTATAACTCAAAATGGTCGTAAGTAGGGACATTCATAAGTCGAGGCACCACTGTACACAATGTGACCAGGATAAAATTAAAAAGAAGGTGGAAAAGGTTTAGGACCTGGTTACCTAAAAGACTGCCTTTCATATAAGCCTGCCTGTCCTCTAAGATCAAGGCAGGAGGCCTTTCTGAAGGTGCCATCCCTGGAAGAGGTGAGGAAGGTGGCATGTTGAAATAGGGCCTTCTCGGCTGTTGCCCCCCCCCCAACTTTGGAATGCCTTCCCTATAGAGATCTGCCTGGCTCTGACACTTTTGGCTTTTTGGCACAAGGCAAAGACCTTTCTGTGTAGCCAATATTTTAATTAAATAGTATCCTTTAGCTGGCCGTATGAGGAGCAAGATTTATTAATGATAAAATTAATTGTGTTAATATAGGGTATTATACGGAAGTTTTTTAAAAATTTAATTTATAATTATTTTCTTCTTTACAAGGGTAGGGCAGGGTAGAGGGTAACTGGGACAAGGATACATTTAGAGTGTGTGGATTTGAACAAACACAATACAAATCATTATTTTCATAATAATTCTAAATAATCCCTTCTAAGAGTAGTTCCAGATAACATACGAGAATATATACAATATATAAGGAAAATCCAAATTCAGACCTATATTTTGTAATTCTAATTATTAATTATGTAACTGTTAATATTTAGTATTTAAAAGTAACTCTTCCTGTACTATGATTGTATATCAACCTACCATTCTAACTATTTTGTGATCATATATTTAGTGACCACCCAGTTTCCCAGTGCTTTTATTTTCTTTTTCTTTTTCTTTCTTTTTTTTTGGATTCATCTATTCTGTTAACATTGTGGGTTTATGTCCTGTTTCTTAATAAAGTCTTTAAAACGTAAACTTAATAATAAAATGTAATAAAGTCTGATACTTTAATTTCCAAAGTTGAGATATCAGACTTGATCTCATCAAACTTCTTGCCCAGACATAATGCTTATAAACTTCTCAAAGCTTTCTTTTAATAGAGAAGACTGGGTTTCCTGCATCAGTCTTAATGGTATGGTTTCTAATTCTAGACTTCCTTTCTCCACCCTGGAGAAATTCTCCAAAGAGGATGCAACCTAGGTATAATAAATATAGTCCATGTAGCTTCACTTCAGATATCTATCTATGTCTAAGTTTAGAGGGAAAAAAAGAGAGAAAGAAAGAGGCAAAACTGGCTGGTTCAACGTTCTGGGCAGCTTTTCAGACCTTGGTTAGAGGGAGATAAGATAAAGTTTGTGGAATGGAAGCTCCTGGAGGAAAAAAAAAGAAAGAAAAAGAAAGGTCTCTTCCAGCGTCACAGATTTTCATAAATGACATAAGTTAAAATAATAAAAATAGTAAAAATAATAAACCCCAGATAAAAAATTATTCTTTCAACTCCTCCCCCATCCACTCTCAACAAAAGAAATACAGTGGTGCCCGGCATAGCAACGATAATCCGTTCTGAAAAAATCGTCGCTATCCGGATTCGTCGCTATGCGGGACTAAAAACCCCATAGGAACACATTAAAACACCTTTAATGTGTTCCTATGGGGGAAAAACTCACCGCTATACCAAAATCGTCCATACGGCCGCCATTTTCGCCGCCCGGTATGCGAGGAAACCGTGCAAAAACGCAGGTGGCCATTTTGGAACTGCCGATCAGCTGTTTTTAAAACATCGCAATGCGAAGATCGGGAAGCGAAACGCATACCAATCATCACAATGCGATGTTTTGCCATTCAAAACATTGCAATGCAATCGCATTAGCGATCGCAAAAAAATGTGTCGCTATGTGGATTCGTCGTTAAACGATGCGTTCGCTATGCAGGGCACCACTGGAAAATCAAGAAGAAAGGAAATCAAACCCCAGTCTATTTCTTTTTATAATCCAGTGTGTCACTCTGAGCCTGAATAATCTTCATTAAGTAAGCTTCCAGTGGGTGTAGGCATCTTCTGAATTATTAGGATTGTTCAATAATATTCACTAGTACTGGACAAGACTAAGGGGGAACTTTACAGAGAGATAATTTAGCCTCTTGTTAAAGATCTCTTTTTAACAAGCTTCCATGTTCTATATTCCTCCTGTCCTCTTCCACAGTCCGCTTCTTCACTGTTCAATGTTCAGTCTTCCAGCCTACTCCCACCTATCTTCGTATACCACAGGAACTTTATAAATGTTCAGCCCAAATATAATAATACAGTAGATTTGCTTACAGTAGTGTCTGTAGTTCTTGAATATAATTGTGTGTCCGTCCTCCTCCAGCCTTCTGGACTGCATCAATTTCTCAGACCTGCATGGAGTCCTGCTGAAGAGAATGCCAATCTTCTGGGATAGGGAGGAAGCAACTAGCTCCCCCAACCTTCTCAGACAGCACTTCTCTTCTTTTGGAATATATTTTCCTCTCCTGGAAAATTATTTAGGCTATCTCAAGCCTACAGAACCTCCATCAGTGGTTACAAATGAGATAAAACTAATCTTGGCCCCGCCTCTGACCTCATAATATAGGGAAGTTTAATGTTTTTCTAAAGTTTTAATATTGTTGTATGCTGCTCAGAGACCATTGCTAATGACATGGCTAAAAATCGTCTAAATAAATAAATGGCATATTCAAAAGAGATAAAAGGATGATAGATTCCTGTGAGGAGGAATCTTATTATGAAGAACCTGCAATTCTAGAAAGTGATGCGAAACTTGTTCTGAAAGCACGAGGAAGAAATAAATCACGAGGGATAGATGGGATACCAATAGAAATATTTTGGCCATTCATACACACACAATATGACATTTATCCTAATATGCTGTGTTTCTGGATTGTAAATGGCTTAAGTGGGAGAGAGATGCAGCTGGTATTACATTGAAGTGATTTGTTCCTTACGCTGCACAATGACAGGTTGAGATTTGGGAATGAGTGAAAGGAAGAACATGAATAAGTAGTGTAGGTTCCTGAAACATTTTTAATTATTACAGGAGGGGAAATAGGTGGAGTAGGATGCCAATGCTAGAAAGCCTGGGCATGGATGGCATCTTGCTGCACCACTTCTAGCATGTGGTGTCTCCTACCTCTCTTTGCCTATTGATACATGCTGGCCTGCTGCATCTATTCCTGCACCTCTTCCTGCTGATCCGTGTATGTTTCCTACACTCATGTCTTTCTTTCATTGCACATTCAGCTTGAAGAACAAAAGAGGAAAAACAACCTTACTTGCTCAAAAATAGACTTTCAGAAGGGTCTATCGCAGGATGCAACAAGAATGTGAAGAACCAACCTCATTGTCCTTCCTTAGGGGGTAGACAGCGTGCAGTCTATAGGGGTTCAAATAAGTTCTCCAGCACCCCCCTAAAAAAAAACTTGTCTCAAAAAGTCAGTTTGTTCCCTGAAGGGTACATGATAGGCAATTTTGCTAAATTTTGAGGGGTTCTAACATCCCTGGGTCTCTCAGGCCCCATTACATTTTTGGGAGGCCACTAGAAGGTCCAAGGGGGTTAGTTTTAGTTTAAAAAACATTTTGAAAAAATATATTTGGGATATGGAGCTGCAGAAGTATGTAGAGCCTTCAAAGATTCAAGGAGGAGTGTGTGTAGTCTTCTGAAGGTCATCTACCCTGTCCTAATTTAATAAAGCCGCTGATTTTTTTATACTTGGGTTTTTCCCCCCTATTATGTGAAGGACAAGTCTATATGAAATTGTGGATATGCATTCCAGATGACGTTCTGCTTGTTCTACTCAAATTTAACACTGTACTGTGGTATATATGAATAGCTGCTGAGGCTTGGCAGGGATAAGCATCTAGAAGCCTCTTCTGGGCTTTAGAGAGGACACAATACTCTCCATACATGATAGAAAGAAAATGAGATACATCCATTCCCAGAATTGCTAGAACAGGTTATGTGAAAATTAATTCCAATGGTATGACTTGAGAACAGAACATTCTTGTTTACGATTCAGTTTAAATTCTTGTGGTCAACTAAAGTTTAAGCTGATGTGTTGGAGAGTAAAATTATCACTTTTTGAAGCTATTTTAGTTGTATCTTTTTGTCATACAGAATGAAAAAAATGTAATAATTGTGTCTGTTAAATTTTTCAGTAGTAAGCTGTCCCCTTAATTTTGTTCAGTGTATTTAGAACACAAGTGTGAAAATCTGAAAAATTCTCTGCCCCACATCACTGGCTGTGTAATGAAGAAAAACTGCTGGCCACTGGGCCTATTCCAGGCTGTTAGATCCTTAGCCTGCAGTGATTCCCCAGTTACCTTGCCCTCTTTGAAGGGAAATGGACTAAAGCTTGGAAAACCTGTGGCATAGGGAGCTAACTTTACTCCTCCCTTGGAGGAAAGCAAGAGAAGATTAAACTTGTGATCTGAAATTTGGCTGGAGTGGGTTCAGCAAAGACCTTGGCAAGAAACCATCAGATAGTGTAAGCATGTGACCCCAATCTTAGGCATTCCGGTTCTAAGAGGCTGTATGTCCTCTACAATACTTATTTCTGTCCTTGTAGGTGAGCAAAACGTGGAAAGTGCTTGCGGAAGACCAAGTTCTTTGGTTTCGACTTTGCCAGCAGGAAGGCTACTTGCTTGACAATCAAATCTCTGATTTTCCCTGCTGGAAAATGACTCTTCAAGAATGTCGGGCCAAGGAACAGGCTTTAAGGGCCAATTGGAAGGTAACAGTTTGGAATTATTCTGATGTCCATCAGAACTCTAAAGCAAGACACTGGGAAGAGCCGCTTTGTTGCTCTTTGAAAGGTAGAATTGTTTGGATTAAGAGTTCAGAACATTAGTTTGGAGGGGGGATAGGAAACATTTAATTACAAAAATATGGTCATGGCTGATGAGGTTGTGAGATTTACATGGTGTAACTTTATATTACTAGATTTCAGCAACTGTATTTTTAGATCCAGTAGGATTTCTATCCTCTGTATCACAGAGATACAGGTGGCTTGCAAGGGGTTTTCATCCCTCCGCACCCATGAAGTTCAATGACTTTGAATGTACAACACTGCCTCATACATGTTCCAAAAAATGGGCCTGCATGACCCAGTCTATTTTCTTCTTCAGGGTCTCCAACATATGTGTTCTTCAGATTTAGTAGGTTCTTGTGACACTTGAGGATCTTTCATCTGCAAATACCTGTTAAAGGTGTTCAGGAACATAGGGACTGGATCAGATTACTGGCCCATCTAGCTCTGTGTTTTGTACATTGTGGTAGAAAATGCATGGCTTGTGGGCTGTTTGTGGCCCTGAAAATCTCACTTGCAAAAACAATTCAGCCACCCCTCCCACCAAAAAAGGGAAGCCTTCAGAAAAAGTGAATATCTTGTAGAATATGACAACAGAGTGCACCTTGTTTCAAATCTAGTTTCATTTTGATGTAGAACTGTAGAACTGTCAACGATATTTCCTTGTCTTTTTATGCAGAATCGCATTGGTGCTGTGAGCCAGCTGCAGTATGAACTTGGGAAAGTTCTGTGCGATGTGCATTCTTGTGATGGAGTGATTATTGCTGGGTAGGCATGTGATAATTTCCTTTGAAGAACTTTATTTTCAATCTTAACTCCTTTTGTGTTTAACACTGAAAGGTTATCTGGTTGTTGTGTAGAACTGCCATTGATGTTTTGGGAAACTCCCTCTATGGGAGGGGTGACTCTCACCACGAAGAGTGAGGTTCGCAGTTTGGGGGTCCATCTGGATCCAGCGCTTACTATGGAAACCCAGGTAGCCTCAGTGGTCCGCACTGCCTACTTCCGTCTTTGAGGATTGCCGCAGCTGTGTCCCTATCTTGATGTTGGGGCGCTCACCACTCTGGTCCATGCACTTGTAGTCTCGAGATTAGACTACTGTAATGCGCACTACGTGGGGCTACCTTTAAGATTGGTGCGGAACCTTCAAATGGTACAGAATGCAGTGGCCAGACTTTCTTTCTTTCTTTCTTTCTTTCTTTCTTTCTTTCTTTCTTTCTTTCTTTCTTTCTTTCTTTCTTTCTTTCTTTCTTTCTTTCTTTCTTTCTTTCTTTCTTTCTTTCTTCATTCATTCATTCATTCATTCATTCATTCATTTATTTATTTATTTATTTATTTATTTATTTATTTATTCTCACTGGGGTGAGAAAGCATCATCATATCTCCCCTACTCTGGTTGTCCTGCATTGGCTGCCCATTCATTTCCGCATTGATTTCAAAGTGTTAACAATGACATATAAAGCCCTAAACTGTTTAGGACCTCAATATCCAGCGGAACGCCTTCTCCCACCTAGATCTACCCGAATCACTTGCTTTAGCCAGGATGGGCGGCTGAGGGGCCTAACGCCGAAAGAGGCCCAGAAAGAAAGAACAAGAAATGGGGCCTTCTCGGCAGTGGCCCCTCACCTTTGGAACAATCTCCCCCTGGAAATTCGTCTGGCCTCCTCACTGGATGTTTTTAAAAGAAAACTCAAGACCTGGCTCTTTAGGCAGACCTTTCCTCCTGTCAATACTTAATTTATCCATTGCCATCTCTTTTTGTATTATTGTTGTTGTTCTATTTTATATTGTTATTACTTGTACTGTTGTTAGCCACCCAGAGTAAACTTTGGTCTAGATGGTAAAGGTAAAGGTTCCCCTTGACAATTTGTCCAGTCGTATTCGACTCTAGGGGGCGGTGCTCATCTCCGTTTCCAAGCCATAGAGCTAGCATTTGTCCGAAGACAATCTTCTGTGGTCACATGGCCTTAGACACGGAACGCTGTTACCTTCCCACCGATGTGGTCCCTATTTATCTACTCGTATTTACATGCTTTCAAACTGCTAGGTTGGTAGGAGCTGGGACAAGTGACAGGGACTCACTCCGTCGCGTGGATTCGATCTTACAGCTGCAGATCTATAGACCTTACAGCACAGAGGCTTCTGCGGTTTAACCCGCAGCGCCACCACGTCCCTAGTCTAGATGGGTGAGGTATAAATTAAATAAATAAATAAAACGAATTATAGAATCACAGAGTTGGAAGAGACCACAGGGGCCATTGAGTCTAACCGCCTGCCATGTAGGAACACCATCAAAGCACTCCTGACAGATGGCCATCTAGCCTCTGCTTAAAAACCTCCAAAGAAGGAGACTCCACTACATTCTGAGGCAGCCTATTCCACTGTTGACCAGCTCTGACTGTCAGAAAGTGACAATCTGATTGTGGCTTATTTCGTAGGATGACTTTCAAGCTATGGTTCAGTGTAAGGCCACTGGGAATAGAAGTTTGGATGTTTTTGTTGCTGCTATTCCTAGAAAAGTTTCCTTTATCTAGTAAGCTGGACTGCTGTATAATGAAATAAAAATATATAGAAATCTAGAGGAAACAGGGCCCATCCTATGGCACCTTAAAGTTTAGTTTTTGCAAATCTAGTACTAGAGATACTGTATTACATCATCATCATCATCCCCAGCCAGTATCAAATGCAGGGGAGGATGATTAGAGTTGTAGTCCAAGACATCTAGAGGTTGCCAGTTTCGAGAAGTGTGGACAGGAATAGAGATGGGCAAGAACTGCTGGTTTGGCTGTTTGTAATGGTTTGTTCTTTGGATGCCCAGGAATTATGTGGGTGCCTTGGCTTCCCTCCCCCACCTCCTCCGATGGACACCAGCTCCGAGGCTTCTCTGCCATCTGGAAGAGGCAGGGAGGGAAGCTGGAGTGCTCATGGTGCACCTGTGTGTCCAAAGAACAAACCATTCTGAACCCCCATCTCTAGAGAGGAATATTCAGTGATGTCTAATCCATAAAAGCAAAACCCATGATAAATGTGCTTTGAAGATCTGATTCTGTTGTTAAAAAAAGTGCCTATGCCTCTGAAAATTCAGAATAGATGTAGTGAAAATAAATTAAATGTTCAAAAATCTGGGGTTTTTTTGGGTGATCTCACTAGAGGTGCTAGATAAAACAAACAAAAATGCCAGTATTTTGGGAGAAATGCTTGTGCCATATTTTGACTAGGCAATTTGGAAAGACTCTCAAAGTAACTTTGAGCGAGAAGACAAGAAGGAAACACCTCTTGCCAGAGTGCTGTCCATTCCAGCGGAGGAGGGAAAGAGAGAAAGAAATTCAGGAGTGATAGCTCTCCTGGAGATAACTTTGACAGACTCTGTCAAGGGGGCCAAAGAAGGAAGAGCCGTTGAGGGCATGAGGGGGATGGAAGAGTTGAAGGAGCAAAGGCGGGAAATGAAGGTGAAGAGGGGAACCAATCAGAAGGAAGAGACGAAAAGGTTGGCGAGGGGGAAGAGGAGAAAAGGGCAAGTGAGGAGGAAGCAGCAGCAGCAGCAGTAGATTAGGAAGAGAGGGAGAGGAAGGAGGAAAACCTACCTCCAGGATGGGAATGGATCTGGTTGGAAAACCCTTGGACCCATAGGTGGGAAAGGCTGATCATTCCCAGAGAGGAAACTGGTCACAGGTGGAGAGCAGTCATTCCCCCTAAGCCATCATATTGGGGAGAGGCAGAAGCCAGAGAGTGGAGACAGAAATTGAAGGAAGAAGGGAGAGAGTAGAACAAGAAAGGAGAGTAAGAGCGGAATGGCGAGTGCAAGAGATGAGGAGACGACGGCCTTGGAAACCTGAGAGTTCATGGAACCCGGGGAGAGAACAAGATGGGAAGAATACCTGGGAGATGCGTCTGTGCCCCTGTTATCAGTGTCGACGGGAATGACAGTGGAAGACTGGAAGCTGGTAGAGCAACCATGGCCTTAGAATCTCAATTATGGGAACCCATTTGTTAGAGTGGAAACCCTTTTCGGACCCATTGGAAGAAAAGGAGAAAGACAATGTTCAGATTGATACTCCTCAAATAAATGTTAAGACGTTACAACTTCAATCTGTGTCTGTGTCTGAAGACGTGGGACTTCAGGAGGAGGAGAGGTGACTTGCTTCACAGCATGAACCCTCACTGTAACTAAGAGGAAAACAGAAGACTGTATTTGCACTGGGAAAGTGACCCTGAATTATCTAAAGATATTAGAGCTGAATGTGCTTTCACTGATTGTGGATTTTAAATCATTTTTACTGGAGCTTACTCTACACATTTATTTATTTATTTATTTATTTATTTATTTATTTATTTATTTATTTATTTATTTATTTAT